CCAAAGAGCAGCTCTGTTTGCTTGCTGGTGACTCCCCGTAGTAACCGTGTAGCAGAGATTCTTAGCTCTGTGCTGAATACTGGTGTTCCCTTAGGCAGAAAAGGGAGCTGTTTCCCCCATGTATTTGCTATTTCCGATCAAATCCTCTTCCTCATCAAGTGCTGCTCCTTCAGCTTTCCATGTTGGAATCTCTTCGTATGCTGCACAACATGCTAAGAATGCTTTCACTGGAGTGCTCAGTGTTAGAACTGACCTTTGTACTTTTCACTGTGAAAGATGAGGAGGAGGCTCTCTTTTCAGCACTCACTCACATTTCTTGTCCCTCCACATACCTAGGATCATCATGTGATAATTATGGTTAGTGAAGAATTTAGAGGGATTATATTGTCATATATAAAATTTATACACATCAGAATCGTAGTATATAGACTGGGCGTGGTGACGTGTGCCTGTAATCCTAGCTCTTGGGAAGCTGTAAACAGGCAGATCGCTACGAGTCTGATCTAGTAGTGAGACCCTGAACACTCTGTAGACCCTTCCCTAAAATACAAATAAAAAAAAAATCATAGCATATAATTTCCCTTCCTTACAAAATTTTTTCAGGAATCTCTAAGCATCCTATTTTTTATTTGCATTTTTTTCTGTGTACTTACTATTATTTCAGCCCTAAACTGCTCTCCAATTGCACACACTTTTCTCTTAATCCTACTGGGAAGGTCATTTGCTTTTCTCTTGTTTCTTTCATTTTTTTTTTTTAATTTACTCGGTACAGGGCCTCACTATTCAGCTCAGACTCATAGTGATCCACCTGTCTCAGCCTCCCCAGTGCTGGGATTACAGGTGTGCACCAGCACACCATTTCAGGCCTGCACGGCACCCCCGGCATCCTGGGTCTGGCATGGCATATGGTACCAGAGCCTGAACCCAGATCCTTGAGCTTGCCAGGCAGGCGCTTAGGCTGCTGAGCCATCTCTCCAGCCTGGGAATATCATTTTCTTCATTTCATAATGTGTGCTGGGCCCTCTGTGCATTCTTCAGATATGCAAACTTGTCTTTCAGCTCTGAGAGTCTGTCTTGCTGTTTCTTTCACTTAATGCTCTCTGATTTCTCTGTCCGGTCTTCCTGGGAGTTTTTCGTCTGAAGATGTTGAGCCTCCTAAAGAGTTCTCTCATTTCCTTGCGGTTTTCTTTTTATTTCCATTCTTTCTTGTCTTTTTAACGTGTTATCAGGAAGATTCCTTCAGCTTTTCTTTCCAGCACTTCTGCTCTTCCATCCTGCTCTCGTATTTTGTGTCTCCATGACGTCTGTCTTGTTGCTGCTGCATGGCATCTTTATTTGTATCTTCTATCTTCTTTCACCTCACTGAAAATACTAGTGAGAGTTTCTTTGCTTTTTCTTCTCCCTCTTCTTTTTCTCCTTCTTCTCCTTCTCCTTCTTCTTGCATAGATTGTATTTTCTTCAAGCTACTTTTTCATGGATTATGTGTGTTTGCTTTGTTTTTATCTTTTATTAGAACTCTTCCTTCAATACATCATGACCCTTGGTCATTGGCTCGCACTTGTGTTTGAGGAGAGAAGCTCTAAGCTAACAGGGGTTGTTTCCAGTACTGAGGGCCATCAGTAAAGATGGCTGTGGCTAACGCGAGGTATGCGAGGGAGGGCCCAGGCCTAGTCACTTTCTCAGTGCTTGGACAGAATTGTTTGGCAGGTTCCCAGGAAGAGCAGTGTGGCCAAGGGTGAAGCATAGAAGAGTGGCTTACACCACTGTGGCCTGGAAGCCAAGAGGAGCAGGACCAGGGAGGGATGTAAGCCTCTCCCTGCTGCACCCCCAGTAGCCTCTGCTTCTCCCACTAGACATCCCCCCGCAACCGCATACCCCATTTGAATTCCACCATGGATGACTCCACTAGTGGGCACAGCACCCTGGTGGCTCAGTCACCTTCAAAAAGTGACCTCTGGGGGTCATTCTTGATCTACAGCGTAACAGGTCCTTGACTAAAGAGGAGTCTGCAGTGGAATCCTCACATGTTATTCAGACTTTTAGCAAGTGCAAGCTATTTATATGATGGTGCTCTTAGCTATTGAGCTCACAAAATAGTACACGTAGAATATAAAGCTAGAAGAAACTAAAATTACTCAAATCTTCTGCCTTCAAGAAAAATGCATGTTAATGTCCTAATAGGGTTTTGGTGGGCAGCTTACCCTCCACTTGGACTTTTGGCTTGTAATTAGCTGCCCACTGCCCAGAGCTGTCTGTTCTTAAAACAGAAGTGGGTCAGGTTGGTGGCTTCCTCTGGGCATCTCAGACTTGCACACAATCCAAGGAGGAAAGAGATAAAAAGCGAGCACACAGGGCCCTGGGGATGCGCCAGAATTTGCCTTCCCTGGAGACAGTTGTTGAGAGACCCTCCTGAAATACAAGACACAAGTCTTGTGAATGTTTGGAATAGTTAGAAAAATATCAAAGTGCTACACTTTGCACTAAGCTCACTGATATCAAATAAGGGAGTCATTTACAGCAACAGAATAATGCCTCATTTCTTAACTGCTCCATGTTACTGATGGTTATGTGTGCTGAAAACACCTGATACAGTAGACACCAAAATATTAACCGTAATTCCCACAACATAGCGTGGCCAATAGAGGTGCTGAGCAGAAAATGATTTATTTCTACAGTCCGTTTGGTTATAATAAACCCATGTTTTTAAAAGTGGGGAATGTTGTGCTGTAATCACCAAACCAAAGAACTAAGATAAGCCAAAGCTGCAGACATAGATGGTGGTATTTGGGATCACAATGAATGATAAACGTCTCAGGTCAGATCAGACCAAATCATAGGACTTCTGATAGCTGCTAGATTTTTTATCTTTCCACATTAATGGAGACTTTGGTGCTCACTGTGGCAGCACATACACGTTTTGCTTTCTTTTTTCTTATGCTCAACATGTGGATATCTTCTCCATGATTCGAAGGTGGCCAAGAAAAAGTGAGCCAGAGAAGAAAGGGTAGGTGGGAGCTGACTTGGCTGTCTCTGTCTTTTTCAAAGAAAACAGCCCTGGAGCCTCACCCCGCCGCCACCTCCATGGCCTCAGCTCACCCTGGCCCATCCAGCTACCCACAACTGCATGGGAGTCTGAGGACTCCTGGGTACTTTGCAACTTCAACAAAGAAGCTCTGCCCTAGGGCCAGAGTGGAGGGTGCCCAGCAGACTCTGCAGTCAGTGCCTTACCTCGTTACCTTTTCCACAAACCAGGCACAATTCCATGCAATTTCTGCTGGAACTGGAGGGCTGGGCTTTATGGAGAATTAAAAACAAGTGTCAGAGAAGTGCTAGGAAGAATGGAAAATGAATTGTACTTCGAAACAATGCAAAGAATCAAAATTTCCAAGAACTCAAACCAGGAAACTCTATCAGGAGCCTTTCATCGGCATCGTAGCTAGTGAGTGTGCTCACACCAGGTTTTCTGCAAAACATTTAAGCTCTCCTGGTCCCAGGTGACATTCTGGTACAGACTTGCCTGCCCTGAGAGCAGACCGTAAGAACCAGACAGGCCCCAGGAAGCTCAATGGACTTCCTCTGTCCAGGAGGCTTAACTGTACTTTGCAGGCACAAAATCTAGCTCTTCCTCACTGATTTTTCAACCTCTTTCATAAAGTCTTCTCTGCTTTTTCAAGTCAATGGTGAGCTCTCCCCTTTTCCTCTGCTGTGGCAATCACCTGTTCATTAAATCCAGGAGATTCTGTGTATTGTTCTGTGGGTTTCACAAGACCACGTCTCGTCCTCCTCGGCCAGCGGGTGCTTCTCAATAGCTAGCTGTGCAGACAGGCGAGGCCGTGGGAGGGGAGACACTGCTGGGCTCTCAAGGCCACAGGGGGGCTCTGCAGACACACAAACTCGTGGATGACAGGGCACCCAAAGACACATTCAGCTGCTTTAAAATAGCAGCTTGACTCTTGGGGAGATCCTGATAGGTGATCTTTAAGTCACTACCCAGCAGGACTTTCCTTTCTTGAGATGTGTTAGCCAGTGTTTAGCCTTGGCGCTGCCAGTGTGTGCTGTCACAGTAGAAACTGAGCCACAGCAGGAAGCCTCCGAAGCTGTGTACATCCCAAATACCCCAAGGTGTCCCTCCGCATCCTTGGATGGCACCCTCCCCGCATCAACTACAGGTGCTCTTCCTTGCTCACAGGATTCTGTGATAGAATCTGTCAAGATCATTCCCAACAGATAAAAAAGACGGAGAGATTGAGGTGTTTCCCTTTTCCCAAGGTAATTTCACATAGGCCACAAGTGCAAACCAATACAACAGACATGTAACAATGAGAACTGAGATGTCAATAAAAAAAGCTGAGAGGCTTTTCTTTCATGTAAGAGCTTCAGGACTACCCATCAAGCTAGTCCATGTAAGTAGCAAACTATCCCCTCTGTTTTTAATAAGTAGCTTCTATTTTCTCTGTAAGCTATGGAACTCACAGATGAACTCATGTTTATTTAACCAGAGCAATTGTCATTGGAACAGTCCTGATAAACGTATGCTTCCGCAGTGCTGAGACAGAGCAGGAGGGACAGTGGACCCCAGCATTGGATCAGGATCGGGGCTCTGCTGTGAACAGCCCGGTTGTACCCAAACAGTCGGGGCAAGTTGCCCTCGTGTGCTCGAGCCTCATTCTGCTTGTCTGCACAATTGGACAAAGTGGATTCCCAGCCTCATGGGGTGATTGGGAGCATCAGATAAGATCATGCACATAAGCCTTTAGAACTTGCCACGTACTTAATCAATGCTCAAAAAATGTTAGCTGTTATTAGTAGAATGTATTTCTAATTGAACAATGAAATATATGGTGAACTATAGATGTTTGGTGTGTCTTCGTAATTTAGTTTGCTATGACTTCCAGCATCAGAGGTAGGTCCTCAAAGCTTGCAAGTCATAATTTGCCTACTTTTCTCAAAAAGAATGCGATGGATTGACCACTTGGTCTGCTTTACGCTTTGATTTCCAGATGGAAGTGATCCCTAAAGATAACTCTGTGTTATCGGAAAGAAGGCGAGAGCTCTACAAGGAAGTTGAAGTCGCTAAGAGGAATTTGACCCAGCAGGTTAATACAAGCTCTTGCTTAAGTGTCTGTCTCAGAACGGCAATATGAAGTCATTGTGCTTTCAACTGCTCCTTACAACCTCACCGAACGGACCTTCGTCTGAGTACCCTCCTGCCTCCCGTGACCTTATTTCCCTTTCTGTTTTCCTTTTGTCATGCTGGGAATAGAACCCAGGGCCAGCTGTGTGCCAGGGGAGGGCTCACTATTGAGCTACATTCCCAGCCTTTCCTCAAATTAAAATTCATGCTGACTCTACATTAAATTTGAGCTATATATATATATTGGTAAAAATTATATAAACCAATGATATATTGAAATGAAAGGGCCATTGACCACATTAAAAATAAACACTAGGGGGCTGGCAAGATAGCTCAATGGTCTAAAGTGCTTCTTAGGTAAGTTCAGGGACCATGGTTCAATCCCCAGTACTGTATGCCTCGCCAGCCCCACCCCCAGGGAGAGCTGGGACAGCCACACAAAAATAAATAAACACCATGGTATTGTTTAACCAATGTCTAATTTAAAAACGCAATTTTTTGTTTATTTGCACTATTGCTTAAGTATTTTAAAGCGTATTTTATGCTTCTTCTTATAGTAACTTGAAAATTTTCTAAGTAAGGAAAGATTCTATCATGTTAACCCACCTTATATTATTTTATAAAAATACAGGGGAAACAGAGCTAAAACAGTGGAGTTACTTTGTTTGATGTTTACTAAATCTAAACAGGAAGTTAAAGGTCTGAGGTATTAGTCTTACTGTTTCCTTAAAACAAACAAGTCATAATTCTGTTGTATTTTTCAAAAGAAAGTTCTATCAGAAGCTGAGTCAAAGTTAGTAGAACAACAACTTGCTGAAGAAAGCAGCCTCGTACAGGACCAAGAAACCTTTCGAAATTTGGTAGTCAACCTTGTCCGTGTGATAAAAGTAAAAACTGATGAAAAGGAACAAAAGTCCAAGGATTTCTTGAGAGCTAAGGTAACTGCATCTTTATAACTGTGATTAATTACTAAAACAGCCCAAGGGAGTCTCATTTGCTCAAAATATTCATTAGAAAACTATGACAACTTGGCAAATACAAGCACCTGAGTTTGATCTGCAGTACCACAAAAACAGAAACAATGACAATGACAATGACTAGTGTGTTTCCTTCATATCCTAGTGGCTATAAAGTTTCCCTAAATGAGATTCAATTGTGCACTGAAAACAAGAATCCCACAATTCAATTAGCATTAGCAATCCAGAGAGGGGGGGGGGAGAGAGAGAGAGAGAGAGAGAGAGAGTTATAGCTTCTATCTAGATGCCCCCCAAAAGCCTCATGCAGTCATAGGCGGTGTTTTTCAAAACCTACTGGATTTAAGGAGTGTGAATATGGATTAAGGGTGTGATACCAGGATTAAGGGTGTGTGGTACTGGATGAGTCCATTAATTGGCTTGTAGTAGTTCTGGGTTTGAGTATGGGAAGCCAAACCCTTGGAGTAGTAGCACCACCAGAAGGTTTGCAGCCTGGATGGGATCAAAGAGAAAGGAGAGCTTGCTGCTGTTGCTGCTGCTGCTGCTGCTGCTGCTGCTGCTGCTGCTGCTGCTGCTGCTGCTGCTGCTGCTGCTGCTGCTGCTGGTTATTTCCTGCCTGCCCTACCATAAACTGTTTCTCCTCTGTGATGCCCCACAGTCATGCCACCCTGCCTTGGACCAGCCAACCAAAAACTGAAACCTCTACAAACTAGGAGCCAAAATAAATCTTACCTCCTTTCATTTTGTCTAGAAAAACAACTCAAGAGCAATAGTACTGGACAGATCTCCCTTCTAAGTTCATACAAATACCATTCAAACCAATGCCCAGATACCGATAGTTACTGCTTCACTCCTTGTTCTTCTTAGGCTCCCCCAGTGCCAGACATGGCCCAGTACAGCATCCCAGAACAAAATCCTTCTGCCATAATAGCTAAGATTCCAACATTAGAATTGTTGACTCTACATAAGGACATTACACCCAGAAATTCTCTGCCAAATATGAATATGGTACTACATAGAACTCAAGTGGAATATTTGTATTTATCTTATGACCCAGATGTTGGCTGTTTCTAAGTGCAACCTTTATTCTCTCTCTGAGCAGTTATTTACAGAGGATAGCATTTCTTCTTTCCCCAGAAAGAACTCACACATGCCAGAGCATCAGCAAGCCAAAGGGGTTGGATAGACACTACAGAGAAGACCAGAGAAAGATCTGCACCACATAACCCTCTGCACACTCTCTACATCCCACTCACTATTTACTTCTCCATCTTAACATTTAAGAGTCCAGAATTTCAACATAGCTGGTACAAGGGACATGAGAGAGGGGGCATCAAGCGGTGACACCAAAGAGCAGAGAGATGAGATGCGAAGGTCCCTCAGTCATGACCTTCATCAGGAAGGCTGCAGCAAGCCCAGCAGAATCCAGGGACAGTTGGGTCCCAGATGGATAAAGTGGGGAAAAACTGGGGCCAGGCAGGAATGGAAAGAAAGGCACCTGGAGAGAAGATGACCAGGGACAGGAGGAGCAGACACCTAAGAAAGCCACCTGCCACCCAATTGGAGTCTGGGATAGGGCTGGCCTGGAACTGTGCTTTCAAAACCACCTACTATTGGCTGGGGAGAGTCCACTCCTGAGAGTTTTCCTGAGTTCAAAACTCCCTCTCTTTTGCCTTTAGAAATTTTAGGAACCTGAGAGGTATTCTTCATTGTGATAGGAAGACTGATGTGGACACTCAGGCTTCCTATGGCAGTTTCTAAGTGCAACCTTTATTCTCTCTCTGAAGAGAATAAAGAGTTTCATGAATTAGACAAGTTCTACTTACTCTTCAACACTGACACATCTGATACATATATGTCACTCATCTATACATATCAAACCTTGTAGAAGACAACCTCATTTACACTAAAGCATAAGACAGTTCTTTGAGATGTGGAAGTTGATAAAGAAAAGCTTATTCCTTGAGTACTTGTAGCATTGGGATTACCTTGTGAACTATTAATAGCCGTTAGCTATAATTTCCATACAAAGGCATTAAATCTCATTTTCCTTTCAGTTCACATTTCTTTCTACACCCCTTTTTAAAAAAAAAAAGTCAAAAGTTAGAGAAAAAAACATGTTGCTATCACCCTAAGATAGAGTAGATGAAGCTACATTTTATACCTATATTTTATTCTTCATATGTAGTGACCCAAATATTAGCTTATGGACTCGCATTCTCATGGAGACTAATATAAAATAAAATCGCTGTACACCCATCTTGTCTCTGATGGCTTCTTTACTTCAAATCACTCCTGCCAGCTAGGTTTTGCACACCATGCATGAGAACTGACAGCACCTGCTCCCCTGGTTCCTACCAGAAATGTTTCCTATTTGAATACAAGAGGATGAAAATCTCAGTTGTCTTTAAATTTGAAGACCATCTCCAGTGTATTTACCACTTGTTAATGTTTAAAGATTTTAGAGGTATAATTGCTTTCTTAAAAAAATATTCATATGTAATCATAGAGCAGGTCTAGCTACTTCATTGTGCAGGAAAATACATCTCAAACAAAAGAATGCAAAGGTGTTTCAAAATTACTGCTTTGGTCTCTCATGAAACACCACAAAGTATTCAGTCTACAGCCTTTGCCAAAACGTCCCATAAACCCTCACTGTCACACATCAGCTCCCCAGGCAAGCACAGCTGCTCTTCTCTCAGATTCTGCTTTTCCTCAAACTCAACCCATGAGCTTTCTTCTTTTCTTTCTCTCTCTTTTTCCTCCTTCTTAAGCAAGCTGTGTCCTCCCAGCAGGAGTCAGGTCAGCAGGCCAGCCCACTGCCCTAGGGAGTAGGAGCCAACCACCAGGGTGACCGTGCCTTCGTACCTTCATGCAGGAGGGCCTGGGGCAGGGTTCGGTGGGGCATATTCCAATGTCGTGACTATTTCTTACATTTCAGCAAAAGTACGAGAACCTTGTCAAGGAAATCAAAACAAAGGATCTTGAAATCAGAGTACACAAGAAGAAAAGGCATGAAATTCATCGGAGGTAAAAGAATTGCATAATGATTCTTCTGTTTAGAGGGGGAAACCTGGCTTCCGGTTTCACAAAACATTTTATATTTTCCTAGGCTCAAAGAATTCGCTAAACTCTATGACACAATTCGTAATGAGAGGAACAAGTTCGTCAACCTACTCCACAAAGCTCACCAGAAAGTAAACGAAATAAGAGAAAAGCATAAGACATCACTAAATGAGCTGGAAATTTTAAGAAGCAGTGCGGTGACTCAAGAGAGGTAAAAATGTTAACCTCTGACCTTTCAGAGCCTCGTCTTCCAGTCTTCCATTTCAGTTGAACTTGAAAACAACCTAGGGAATGCAAAATAATAAAAGGTGTTTCAGAGAGCTGAGCTGCAAAGCCCTCCTCAGACGCCTTGCTCAGGGATAATGAATCATCCAAACATCTGGATGCACCTGCTGTGTGTCTATTTGAGACACATCACATTATGAATGAAAACTACACACAACTAGGTTTACCGTGATCATTTGGTGATTTTCTTCTGCCCACTCAGAAAGACACAGATCTGATCATTTGCATTTGAAGCTGGAAAAGACTCACATTGTTTAATAGACAGCATCCCCTGGCTATAGACTTAAAGCACCAAACAGGCTTACGAGTGGCAGCACAGCTGAATGGTCCTGCAGCCATCAGCTCCGTGACCTCGGACATGCAACCTTCCATCTCTCTGCACTCACTTTCCTCACCCATGAAAGCGGCCTTATTTCACAAAACTTGCCTATTCAGTGCATTAATCCACCTAGTAGCCCTCAGAAGGGTATTGGCCAATGGTATTTTATTAATTTCTTACTTCCCATGTGCCAGGTTCAGTGGGACTCCTTCACCGGTCTCGGCCCTTGATCTCCTGGCTCCTCACAGCCCGCTAAAGGAAGCTGGGCGAAGCTGTCAGCAGTTGTTGCCCAGTTTCCTTTAGCAAAGATAGCCTCAGGTGGGGTTGGGGAGACCTAAGCAGGGTCTCACCCAACAGGAAGGTAAAGGACTGCGACCGTGATCTCATTCAGCACTGTGCCTGGCGTCTCCTGAGGGCCAACAGATCTTCTCAGACGGGGCCAGCTCTGTTCTAGGCTGCACAATCCCCTGGGGGGAGAAGGGCACAAAGGGCAGCAGAAGGCGGGGTCCCAAGGGCAGGTGTCCTGCCTGGGCAGGAGGGAGGCCCTAAGACCTCAGCAAATTGTAGGCATTCCTGAAGAGGCAAGAGGATGATGTAATGAATCTCCTCCGTGCTACTGCCATTGCCATTCCAAGCGCACCATGGAGCAGAGCTGTTAGAACTGCTTAATCTTACCAACTTTCCCATTATTTTAAAAGAAAGATCCAGAACAGCCTGTGGAAGCAGGCCAACAACATCACCATCAGAGAGAGCATGCGAAGTGATGTGTGCAAAATTGTGACGAAAGTGCAGCAAATGAAAGAGAAGAAGGAAACGCAGTTAAACAACCTGGACAGTCTGGCACACACGATCACCATGATAGAGGAGGAGATGGTGCAGCTTCGCAAGAAGTATGAGAAAGCTGTCCAGAGGAGAAATGAAAGGTACACTCCGGACCCTTGGAAAGAGAATGCGGGCTCCAGTTTCTAGGTTGACCCTTTTTAGATGGAGATGCAGTGGGCAGCTTGAGAGACGTGCCAATGGAGCTTCCGTAGCTTTGGAAAGGAGGATGCGGCTTTTCCTGGAGATTAGAAATGTCATCCCAATAAAAGAAACAGGCCAAGGGGAGAGGGCGGGGGAGCTGCTCATGGGAAGAGCGCAGTGCTTCTTCCTCAGACCACTGTTCAGGATGCCTCTGGGAGCATCAGATTCTTTCCACATAGTTGACACGAATAAGTCCTTGAACCTTGTATCCACTTTGATGGCGAGCTTGGCCTTACATTTCTCATGTTGTTGTCTCCGTCCACCTTCTCAAGTGCGTAAGGCGCAGCGCATTTCTCCGCACTGCAGTTATGTCATTCGTCAGTTTGCTGTTTTGGCAGCCCAGGCTGCTTGTGCTCTGAGAAACTGGCATTGAGCTTATAGAGCAACCCTTCCCGGCAGCAGACTTCTTAAAATTAAACTTTGGTTGTAGTCTACTCCATGTAAGACATTGGAGTTTTAGACCCTGAGAGGATAAAAGGTAGTCAAGCTACTACTCCAGCTTCCATCGTTAGGAGAACTTGGCCATGAGAAGACTTTGACAGAGAATGGGACAAAGTACCGAGCCAAGTGTGAGGTGTGTTTGGAGGGAGAAGAAAGGGGTGAATGTAAACACAGGGGCACTAGGTGATGGCTCCGCAGGTGCTGAGAAAACCACGAGTGCCGAGAAGAAAAGCCCTTTCTCAAGGGCTGGTGGGGTTTTATTTGTCACAGTTGGGGGGTTAATCCAAATTGGCCCTTGCCCTGAATCAAAGCATTTGGATGATGAAGCTCCCGGCCCTGGCCAGAGCTGCTAGAATTAGAAGGTCTCCGCCTCTTTCACATCATCTCCTTTCAAGGAAGGGCTGCCCCATCCAACCCCCACCTGCAGCTTTGCGAAGGGCTGATGCTTGCCTGATTGTGGGGAAATTAGCATCTGGAAATCTTTGGCTTTAAAAGAATCTCTTGGGCCTGGCAAGTTAGACAGAGCAAAGACACTCCTCTGCCCCTGCCTCTGTGCATCTGGCCCCAGCTTGGTTGGCAAGTCTGACCCCTAAAAAGCAGTCTGCAGAAAGCCAGAGCACGGGACCATTTTGGCCATGGTCACATCCCCACTCCAAGAGAGGCTTTGGAACCTACAGGACCACGATGACCTCAGAGCTGAGGGGCTCCCAGCCCAGCCAGGGTGCAGCCTCGCTAAGGACCCACTGCCCAACTGCCCCTGACTCGGGTTACTGGGTGCTCAGGCCTAATTTGTCCCCAAAGCCAGAGGGAAGCACAATGCTAATTACACAGTGCCCTCAGCACCCACGTAAGCCTCCTTCTCTGAATTTTCCTCACAGTGGCGTCCAGCTGATAGAGCGGGAAGAGGAAGTGGCCATTTTTTATGAAAAAATAGACATCCAAGAAAAGCTGAAACTCAATGGGGAAATGGAAATACACATCCTGGAGGAAAAGATCCGCTTCATGAAGTTGAAAGTTGCAGAGAAGCAAAGACAGATTCATGTGTCCCAGAAACTACTGCCAAAAAAGAGGGCCCTGGACGAGGGGCTGGCGGTGCTCCAGATTCAGGTGGGGCCGCGGGCGGGGCAGGTCTGGGCCGGCTGGTTCACTCTCCCTCACTCAGCAACAGAAAACGCAGTCTTCTCTTTAGACCTCGGGAATCCGCAGTCTCTGGCCCAGTGTAGCTCAGCTGTTGGCGCTTGCTAGAGAGGGTTTGGGGAGCATCTGGCTCATAGGCTTGGTGCCCTGGCCTCTCTGGTATGGAGCTTGTTGCTTATCCACTTTCAATCCTGCATAATGAGAGCCTTGTTCTTCCTCCGTAATTCCTCTACCATTTGGTAACTTGGCCCTAGCCATGGCCTTTCTGGAAAGTGGAATCAGGTCTAAAAAATTCAAATATACAAAAGCAAAACACTAAAACATGAATATAAGCCTACTATTTTCACATGTAATACTTTCTTTTTTCCTTAGTAGAAGGAAAAAATTAAACTTAAAAAAAAAAAAAAATCCTGGCCTAAACTCCCTATTAACTCAATGTAGCAAGAACAAATTCTAACCTATAATGTTTTCTAAAACATCAGATGAGCTTTTGGTGTTTATCTGATTATAAAATTAGGACATGTTGGTCAGTGAAATCTTGGAAAAGAATAAAAATTTTGAAGAAAAGTCCATCTTCAGGAATGTTAAGAATTAACCTTACAATGATCAAGCACCTAAAAGAGTCTTCCGTTCCTTCTCCCAGTGCATGGGAAACGCTTTGTGTGCACACTGTAGACACAGTGTGGGGTCTCCCAGGCCAGGACTTGGTGCAGCAGGGCGTGCCCTCGGGTGTGTCTGTGCAGGAGGCGGCACCTTGCAGCTGTGCACATCCACCAGGGTCCTGGCTCTAGAGTGTGCTTTGGTTTTAGCCATGAGCACTTCTGTTTCTTCAGTGGGTGAAGCTCAGTTTCAGATGAGTTGGCACAGTGCCCACCGGCCCCAAAGCATCACTCCAGGATCTCTGTGACTCTTTCAGGAATCCCATCACCAGCCTCCGCAGTGCCCATCCCACTTCTATGCCACAGTGGTGCAGATTCCAGGCTGTCCCTTTCCTCTGTCCACCCCTGCACAAGGCTTCTGTGCAAGGCTTTTGTCTGCACAGATTTCATTGAAGAGTAGAGGCCGTACTGTGTGGGGCCCGCAGTCCACCGTCCGCAGAATCCTCAGGGGCCACTCTGGGGAGCAGCCCAACCTCACCCTTTCTTAGCTGGTCTTCTCTTCCATCCCGTGTTGCCTGCCAGGAACTCCATAATTGTCTCCATCCCATGGAGTAATTTGGTTCTCTTCACCTCTTTCTCCAAACACGGCCTTGGTCTGTCTTTGCCTATCCTTGACTATTTTAATATGCCCTGGAAAAGGACTCTAAATCAGGAGGAGCTGGGCATGGTGGTACACACCCGTAATCCCATCTCATGGGAGCTAAGGCAGGAGGATAGCCACAAATTCAAGGCCAGCCTCGGTTCCTTAGTGAGTTCAAGGGCAGCCTGAAATACATAACAAGGTGCTGTCTCTAAAAAATAAAGTCAATAAGATCTAAAACCAGACTGCCTTCACTTCAAACTAATACTTCCTGTCAAATGGATTAAATTGTTCTTAGGAAAAATATTTAGCATTTCATTAGATAAAAATAGTTACCACTGTCACAATGAATTTCAGTCTTGCCCACGAGGGAAATGCAATGCATTTAATAATATCAGATGTCCTGCTGCACTGTGAGCATGCGTCAGTCGAAAACTGCACACCAAGCGAGGCAGGCAGGCTAAGGATTAGCAGTCACCGCTGGTCTACCCAGGTTAATTAATGCTAAGCTTAGGAAGGCCGAGTATCAAGTCTCTCCTTAAGGTGCACACTGCACTTCACTATGTGGTTGTGTAGTGACCACTGATCACGTGTGCCTAGAAGGCCAGGAGGCAAAGGTGGTGACAGTGCCAGCTTCAAGCAAGTCAAATTTGGACTCTGTCCTCAGGCCCAAGTTGGTCATATCGTGTTATTTGTTATGGCTGTGATGGAGTCTTCCCTTTTCTCCTAGCATTTGCAGAACTTAGAACAGTTTCTGTCCAACTGAGCAACCCAAGGATTGTCATGAGTCATCCCCTCCTACTTCCAGGAATAACAGCTCCATTCGAGGCAGTCTGGAGACCACGAGCTATTTTACGAGGGAGAACATGCCACAACTGTCTGGCTTACTCCCCTTAACATGATCTCAAGGTCCATCTGTTTCCCTGAAGATGTCCTGCCTGCATTCCTGTCGTGGCTGAATACTACGCCAGTGTGTACATGTCAGGTTTTCTTGATCCATTCATCTGTTGTGGGCACGGATGCTGGTTCTGCGTCACGGCCTCAGTACACATGAGACTGCTGTCCTATGCTGGCTTTAATCCCTTCAGGGATAGCCCCAAGGGTCGTGCAGCTGGGCACAAGGGGGCTCTGTTTTGTTGTAGTTGTTGTGTTTTGAGGAACCAGTATACTGATTTCCAGTTAATGTATTTGGTACAGGGTCTCACTGCACAGCTTCCGACTCACAGTGATCCTCCTGTTTTCAGCCTCCCCAGCGCTGGGATGATAGGCATGCGCCACCACGCCTGGTCTTGGTGGCTGGCTTCTAGGGGCAGGACCAGCACAGCACGTGGTGCCAGGGAGCTAATGGAATCCTAATGTAGCTTTGATTTGCATTTTCCTAATGGCTAAAGATGCTGAACAGTTTTTCATGCATTTATTGATCATTTGTACTTCTTTTGCATCTGTTCAGTTCATTTGCCCATTTTTTGACTGGGCTCTGTGTGTGTGTGTGTGTGTGTGTGTGTGTGTGTGTGTGTGTTCTTTATATTCTAGAAACTAATCTCTGTTGGAAGTCATTGGAAAAGATTTTTCTCCCATTCTCTAGGATGTCTTCCCTCCGCTGGTTGTTTCCACAGCTGTGAAGACATTTTTTAATTTGACGTGGTCTTGCAGGATTCTTGCTAGTACTTCCTACACTGTTAAGGGTCCTATGCAGGGAGTCTTTGACCATGCCTATGGCTTCAAGTTTTTCCCTGTGTTTTCTTCAAGCAGTTTTAATATTTCAGGTTTTATCTTAGTTACTTTTCTCATTGCTGAGACAAAATACCCACCACCCAGTGTGAAAGAGGGGAAAGTTTATTTGGCTCACAGCATGTAGAGGTTTCAGTCCACTCAGCTGGCTCCAAGGCAGGGTGGTGTGTCAGAGGGACATCACAGAGGACAGAATCCATAGGAAGGTAGGCAGAAGGCTGCCAGCAGTGAAGTAGCAACTAGCGAGTGACAAGCCTCTTTCTGTCCCTTACATCTTACCCAGACTACCTGCCCTAGGGCAGGTAACACATCCTCAATCCTAGCTCTGCCCCATGATTCAATCCCAGCATCACACACTGTAGGCACAGCCACCTCTGAGAAAGCCCCCTACGACTGCATGACGCTTTATGGGGAGGCAACTAGATTGGAATCCATTGGCCTCTCGGTTACCCCAAGAGGAAATGGTGTGGGAATGAGGAAAAGATAGACAAGAAGACAAGAGCTGGGTCAGGTGGTGACCCATTGCCTGACTGGCAAATGACCTGCAGCACAACAGTAGCAGCATTTATTTATACCTTTGCAAAGTTACAAGACCCAAGGTTGCCTAATGACTAATAGCTGACCTTAACCAGGCAGGATGTTTTTCTCAGGACTGAGGTAGCTTAATTGCTTTAGGCACTGAGGCCTAGTCCTGCTCTCACACATTTGACCAATTTCCAGCTTTGGTGGCTCCCAACACTACACACAAGCCACAACAGGTCTTATACCTAGGTCTTTGATCCATTTTGGATTTTTGTACAGAGTGGGAGATGAAGGTCTAGTTTCAGTATTCTACTCCAGCACCATTTATTAAAGAGGCTGCAGTATATATTTTAGCATCCTTTTCAACAATCAGGTGGCTGTAGTTTTATGGTTTTTATGTCCTCTATTCTATTCCGTTAATTTATTTTTTGCCCCTTCGGTACTGGGGGTTGAACTCAGGGCCTTTGAGCTGAGCTACATTCTCAATCATTTCTATTTTTATTTTTATTTTCATTTTCAGGCAAAGTCGCACTAAGTTGCCCAGGCTGGACCCAAATTTGCCATCCTCCTGACTCAGCCTCCCAGCGTGTTAAAAGTACAGGAACAAGCCATAGTGCGCAACTCCATGTGCCTATTCCTGTGCCAGTACCATGCTGTTTTTGTTGGTATGGTTTTGTAGTATAAATTAAAATTAGGTATTACCATGCCTCCAAATCTGGCTCTTCTTGCTAAGAACTGCTTTGGCTGTTCTGAGTATTTTGTTTCCATATGAATTTTAGAACTGTTTTTTCTAGCTCTAAGAAGAATAGCATTAGAATTTTAATGGGTAATGAATTGAATCTGTAGATTCCTTCTGGTAATATAGCCATTTTTAATATACTAATTCTGCCGGTCTATGAAGATGGGAAGTCTTTCCCATCTTCTAGGGTCTTCAATGTCTTTCTTCATTCTGTGATTTTCAGTGTAGAGGTCAACTACCTCCTGTAGTAGACTGAACCCTAAGGGTTGGGTTGGGTTTAGCTTTTTAGGCTATCATGACTAGTTTTCCTGATTTCTTTCTCAGCTAAATGGTTTTCCTGATTTCTTTCTCAGATTGTTTATTACTGGTATATACAAAAAATACAAATTTTAATGTTGATTTTGTATCCTGCAACAGGCTCTTGATTGCATATACACTTCAATTCTAAATTCAGGTCAATAAAAGAAAACATTATGTCATCATTTAAAATTCTTTTTACTGGGCCAGGGAAATAGTTCAGTAGAATAAGCACTTGCCTGGCAAGCTCAAGGTCCTGAGTTCAATCCCTGGTACTGTAAAAACAATAAAATTCTTTTTACAGGGAGGGGAAACACCAATTAAAATTACCATTTTACCTGTGTCACTCTTGGGCATGCTGTCGAATATATTAAATTCTCACTCGACGGCTCAGACCCATAAACCTGAGCCTTATCTTTCTGTGTGGCAGTTGCAGTGAAGAGAATAAACAATTTCATTGATCACTCAAAAATTCCTTAGGAAAGCTGAATATTTTGCCTCTTGATTGTTGCCATATGCCACTTCTGTCTTTACCAAACTAAAGCTAAATGGGGCTCCCATTTTTACTTGAGAGTAGCCAAGGTCCTCACTCGCCTACGTGTCAGATGATTCAGCAGATGTCTAGTTGACTCATAAGGCCCTAATAAAGGGTTTACAAAAAAATATACAAAGGGCTGAGGCTGTTCCATCGCTCCTTTCTTATTTGACATACCATTAAACGTACTGCCAATGAAGGATTTCAAAATGGCACTCAGTGTTCTGAGTGCTGCTCTGAGCTCTGTTGCAATCTCCAACAAAGAGCTGTACACTCGGAGCAGAGTCAGATCTGGACATTGTCCTCATGGCCCCATGTGTGAGCAGAAACATCGTGAAACCCCAAGTCCCAGATGAGGGGGTGAAACAGCAGAGTTCTCCTCCTCCCTTGCAGGGGTTGGTCCTGCTGAGGGACTCTAGACACCCTCATGATGCAATTGTAAGATTGCCAAGCTAAAGAGTTAGTTTTAAAGCTAATGTATATTTCTTGTTTAATAGTTTTCACAGTGTACAGACAGAATCAAAGACCTGGAGAAAAAGTTTATAAACCCTGAGGGTAAGAACAGAACCCGCCTTCTTCCAGGGAAAGATCTGACCCAAGAAGAAATGATCAAAAAATTAGATAAGGTAAAGACTCTTCTTAAAATGGTGTTTCTTTTTTCTTTGACAGTAATTTCACCTCAGGTGCCTGTGGCCTGTTTCCAGTTGGGCTGACAGGCCTGTCTTCATCCTCCCAGCCACTCAGCCTTTTAATGTAATCTAGAAAGTGCTCAGCTTGATCAAGGCTCTTTCCAAACAAAGTTAAAATGCAATAGTTTCAAGATTCCAAACACACATGCCTGTCTTGGCCCAAAGGAGCAATTTTGCCTTCTTGAATGGGTGACTTGTCTTTCTGGAGGGACCACTTCAGAGAATTGTCAGCCCCTAGCGCAGACAGAGCTGGGCGGCCGTGGTGTGCTGTGGGGGAAGGAACTCTCAGAGCTCTGGAGGGAGCAGGGACAGGGAGTCTTGCCTCTGCCCAGCCCCACTTTCCAAAGACATTTCAACCACTGAGAAGGGACTGCAGCCCCACCACAGGGGCTGGGGAGAGACCAGAGAGCGCTCTAAGGAGGAAAGGAGTCTGGGCTTCCTGTGACATTTTTTCTTCCTAATGAAATTATTTTCAACTGAAGCTGGAACTGCAGCTGGCCAAGAAGGAGACGCAGTTACTGGAGAAGGATTTCATCTATGAACAGGTCTGCCGGCTCACAGACAGGCTCTACAGCAAGACTGAGGCCTGCAAGATGGACACACTGCACCTAGCCAAGAAGGTCAGCCTAGGACCCTGCCCATGACCCTGCCTGCTCTCTTCTTCCCTACTCTTGTGTTACCTTTCTTCTCCTGTCTGCTGGGCTTGCTGAGAAGCACTGGCGAGATCTGGTTCTAGGACCAGAGAAACAAAACAACGGAACAACATACGTAGGACTCTTGAGAATTGTCCAAAGCAAACTGCTCAGCTAGGACAACTGTCATCTTTGTGAGGTCACTTACAAAGTAAATCCTTTCTAGTTCCTCTTGAATAGTCGGCCTCTGCTGTCTGTGGTCTGAGTAGGAAGGACTGCTCCTTCCGGAGCTTGGAGAGAACCCACAAATAGAGGGGACCCCAGAGGGAAGAGCAGTCCTGTGACTGCAGCTGGTGCACTGTGTATCCTAGCAGCCACCAAGCTAGGCCTGAGGGTAGGGACATAGCGGAGCCGACACGCTGTCCCCAGCAGGTGAGGCTGTGATGTGGGGAGGGACACCCACCCCCAACCACACATAGTGGGCTCTGCTGGGAAGCAGTAGACTCCCCTCCTCTTAGTTTCCCCAGTGCCTGGAACATAATAGGATCTAGAAGAAAGTTCAGAATGAGTAAATAGGTCTGTTCCGGAAACTGTTTTGACACAGTAAGTAGGAAATGGTAGTATTTTAATCTGACTCGCGCATTTCTGCTCCGGCCTCCACTAACAGACTGATCAGTCCAGCGGCAATTGCACAATCCACAGCTTCTCCTCCTGAAGTAGGAAAGCTCCCGAGCACTGGCTGATTGGCCCACCCCTGCTTCTGCAAAAGTTGCCTGCCTTTCAGAGAGTTTCCCTTTCTTGGCGGGAAGCCATTTTTCACTGAGGGGGGATTTGTCCAGGCTGCTGACATACTCCTTGGGAGGCACCCATCTCACTAGAGAAACAAGGTGGCACTGACAGGCCAGGAAGGCTCTGCAGCACAGCGGGGCAAGGGGCAAACTGAGAAGTGACAACTTACGCCAGAAGTTAGCAAAGTCTTTCCCTTTTCCTTTTCCCCTTGGAAATAGGCACTAAAGTTTTCCCCTCAGTGCTGTTTACCTTGAATGTAGTAACTAGCTATTCTTCCTTTTCCCCTTTTCTTTTTCAGGATGTTCAGGGTCTCACTACTAGATCTGACTCATAGTGATTCGCCTGTTTACAGTCTCCCAAGAGCTGGGGTTACAGGCACGCACCACCACGCCCAGTCTCAATTGCTCTCTCAGCATGCCCTGGGGTCAGGCCAGCATGGCAGGCCCCGGGGATTGAACCCCTGGTCCCTGTGCCTACTTGCAGGCGCTTTAATCCCCTGAGCTCTATTCTTTTCTTTTCTTTTTTCTTTTCTTTTCTTTTCTTTTCTTCTTTTCTTTTCTTTTCTTTTCTTTCTTTTCTTTTCTTTTCTTTTCTTTCCTTGTTCTTCTTTACCCAGCCAGGGTGTTGGGCTCAAGCCCTGCAGTCTCTTTCAGTTCCGATTTCCTATGAACTCCCAGTTAACCCTCCTTCCTTCTGGCAAGAGTATCCCCCACTCCAGCAGTCCAGCTTTTTCTTCAAGTCTCCACAGAATGCACACACCAACTAAGCCTTGGGGCTCTTTACTTCTAGATGAACGGCTATCAGAGAAGAATCAAAGATGCTACCGAAAAAATGATGGCTGTCATCGCTGAGCTGTCCATGACACAAGCCTTGACCATTGAACTCCAAAAGGAAGTCAGAGAGAAGGAAGAATTCATCTTCTCTTGCACCTCCAGGATAGAAAAGGGTCTGCCGCTCCATAAAGAGATTGAGATGCAGTGGCTGAAGGTTCTCCGCGATGAGAAGATGTACACCTTGGCGGTGGCTGAGAGGTCCCAGGTAAGCTTTGGCCGCCATATTGCATTTTTTGAATGTGCCAGGATGGGCTATTTCCAGGAGCGCAGTCCTCCCATGATACAGATTTACTGTCTTTTATCAAAATCCTGGGACCAGCAGTGTTTGGGATTTTCTCTGAAATATTTTGGAATATTTACACACCTTGAATAATACATCTTGGGAATGGGACCTAAAGGATTAACGTGAAACTCATTCATGTTCCATATACACTATACACACGTAGCCTGGAGGTCATTCCATATAGTTTTTCTACTGCACCTATGCTTCGACACAGTCTATCACCAGGTGACATCATGTTAGTGCTCAAAGCACATTCAGAGCATTTCGGATTTCATATTTGGGGATTCAGGATACTCAACCTGTGTATGAGAAAATTTTTCATTTCTCCACACATGTATTCCCAAGAGTCATTAGAAGTTTACTATTTGGAATGGCCCAAAGAGCCAGCATAAGTTTAGCACCAGTTCTTCTGCTTGGCTCTTTATCCTTTCAGTAGTGTATGACTGAAGTTAGGCATCTCTTCCCAAAGAAGTCTGATTTGCAATTTCCATGCCATCTGGGAATATACGTTTCAGGGAATTCAGATTTTCCCTGTGGTGTCCCACTGTCATTCGCCTGCCTCTGGCACACTGAGTTCCGAATGGTGCCCCAAGAAATCACTCTGTTCCAGAAGCACACAGGCAGACTCACAAAGCCCTGAGGTTCAGAACCACCTGCTGAACACCTTTCTCCCGTTTCCATGCTACTACTTTTTCCCATTGTGATGTTTGCCCATGGACAGCTTACCCAGAGAAATACATGGTCCTGCTTTTGTCCCAAATATGAAAGCAGGGCTTGGTGACAGATGTTGCTGTTGGGCTCACTGAGCAGCTCTGATAAACCCTCACCCCAGCAGCCGTGTGACACGTGAGCAATGCACCCACGGATGGGGACTGCCCAATTTCCTCAACTGTCGGGGGACCCCAGCCAGCACAGCCCAGGGCTATGCAGACCCAGCTGTGTCTTCTGGGAGTCAAGATGAATGTCAGCATTTTCAGAAAACTCCTCCTTTGCTCCTAGGAGTTGCTAGAAACAGAGAATCGCCAGCTGCCCAGTGGCATTTACACAACCGCGGAGCAGCGTCCCAATGCCTACATCCCAGAAGCAGATGCTACTCTGCCTTTACCCAAACCGTACGGTGCTCTGGCTCCATTTAAGCCCAGCAAGCCCGGAGCCAACATGAGGCACATGAGGAAACCTGTTATAAAGCCGATCGAAATCTGAACGTGTGAGCTGGTCCAGGCCCCTCAGAGAGAGGATCCAAGCAGGCGTCTTCACTCCTCCACCTGGAGAATGTCCGCGCCCTGTCGCTACAATCCAGACAAATGAGGTACAGCCAACCGCAGGGATAACACAGTTTGCTGTTGTAATCACCAGCTACCACCTTTTTCATTGTGTTTAGTAGGACATAGAGTCGTTCTACAGTTATGTCAAAGCATATAATTGAATTGCTCCCATAATTCCTTTCTATTCTTTATACTGATGTTTAGAAATACATAGAATGCAAAGTGCTGTAAAAGTGTAGAATAAATAAATTTTCAATGAGGTGTGAAAGCACAGTGTTCTTTACTAGAGAAAACACAAATCCTGTGGGGTACTGCATTCTGAAAAACAGCATGGCTCGCAAAAAGGGGAAATGCCGTCAGCGTCCAAAGGGGCAGCTTACTCAGTTGAGGAATATGTAGCACCGGAAATTCATGTTGGTAAAACGAAATCAGATAAAAAGCAGAGGGAAGCCTGTCTGTTCTGAAGTAACTTTAAAATTATGCTTTACAAGAATTCTTATGCTGGAAAACGTTCATGCCCTGACTCATCTTTCTTACAAATTCAGATATTTTATAATAATTTGGCAGTACTTATTTGATCTGAACATCAGTTCATTATTTTAAGCTCTGACAGATTTTGCAAGATTTCAACATGATAATAACTTCACACATGAGAGGAGAGGCTTGAAGGTAGAAGCGATTCTACCTTAATTTTATTGCATTTCACATAACTACGTTTTTCTCATCCTGAAATATTTTTTCTCACACATGACATAGACGGAGGTTTGAAATTTGTGTTTTTACATTCTCTAATACGCTGAAATTCTTTCATGCTGGTAGCAGTTATGAATTTTATTTTACATCTCTGGGAGTGAAAAAGATCACATCCTTTTATTCTGCCAAACCAAACATTCTGTCCCAAACCCCTGCCTAGCGTGCCAAAGTAGAACAAAGTGGAATACTGCTCTCACACTGTCAGTCCTGAGTTTAACCCAGTTGCTTTGTAAAGTCCTTATAAAGAATCACTTGGCGGGGGGGCGCTGGGGAGATAGCTCAGCGGTCTAAGTGCCTGCCAGGTAAGCAGAAGGACCCGAGTTGGATCCCTGGTACTGCATGCTGTGCCAGCCCCAAAACCAGGCATAGTGGTACACGCCTATAATCCCAGGACTGGGGAGGCTGAGACAGGAGAATAACTATGAGTCTACATGACGAGACCCTGTAGCCAATAAAAAAAATTAAAAGAATCACTTGGGAGTTCCTGTGACGGTAACACTGTACATAAGCTGCAGTTAACACAAAAAAATACTATGCACTTAAACACAGGTGTGTGCTTTAGGCCTTAGTTGTGTGTTGTATGACCTCTTTAGGGATTCAAATGACTAGGCACATACAAAACAACGTAAGAATGGAAACCCACTTAAATTCACAAAAGGATGGATGGTAAAATATTACAGGGTGTGCTAGCGGTTAAAGAAGGCAGGTGCCACCATGTGCTGAAATGGCCTAGACCTTAGTCAGGTGGACTTCTTACCTGGCCCTGACGCATGATGGAGATCTTAATAGGTGCAGAGGGTCACCAGGTGGGGACCTAGCATGAGCAAGCCTTGGGAATAGCCCCCAGAGGTGGTCAAGGCCCAGAGAGATCCCTCAGCTACAACAGAATGTTCATCCTATTAGGGTCAGAGTTTAGGAGAGTCCAGTGCCAATATTCTGATTTTATCATTTTATGAACAGCAAGTTGTTGAAGGGCTCTGAACAGTGAGGTAGTCCTACTGTTTGTCTCAAATATACATTCCACTTATTAGGCCCTAAGAAGAGACAGAAGCAATCCAGGTGTGAAATGAAAGAAAGTGGGAATGAAAGAAAAAGTCCTTCTCAAGAGAAAGCATCAGGGGGCCGGGGAGATGGCTCAGTGGAATAAGCACTTCCCTGGCAAGTGCAAGGGCTTGAGTTCAATCCCCAGTTCCGCAAAAAAAAAAAAAGAGAGAGAGAGAGAGAGAGAGGAAAAAAAAAACATCAGCAGTGCGCTGCTGATCCGGCTCCATCAAGGTACAGTGAGGTGCCAGTCGGGCCCTCGGAGGAGCGGGCTTCTGGGCTCAGGATTCTAGCTCAAGTCCGAAGGCTGTTCATACAGCAGGCAGAGTCCGGCCAACAACTGACTAATGACACAATTTAACCAAACTTATAAATATAGAAAAATTAAATACAGTTCCATCTGAACCATCACAAAAACAAACCTTCTTCTAAATACTTATATGTACAAATCACTATATGTTACAAATTATTCTGTATCAGAGATAGCAGATTTGATTTAGTCCAGAGTTTTAAATGTATTCTCCTTCCAAGGCATGTTCTTCATGCAACGCTGAATTTTTCTGCTTAAGCTATTTTCACTGACATAGCTAGTTTTTGCTGTTCTAGGCCCTCACTCTTCTGTAACATTCTTAAAGCAGATTTTATTTCTGAGTGTAGCAGAAGCTAGCATTGGCTTACGAAGCCAGCACAGAGAGCACTGTTTATGCTGTTTCCTGTCTTGCCAGCCTGTCATTTCGCTATACTTGACTGCTTATCAGCTACTCAAAACTGGAACGAGGCACAGCAGTTTAGCGCTGCCCGAACATGTACAAAAGGAAAACTCAGATGATTCAACAATAAATTCTGTCTTGTCCACCTTTAGGTATTGCTAAAGAATTCCCAACCCGAGTCAGGTTAACGAATAAGGTTAAAATGTTGAAAAAAAAAAAAATCCAATTGCATTTTCTCTTCTATAAGCCTAGGAGCATGGTGGTGTGTTTTAGAGCTGCTTCTTCTACAAATTCTGCATCCACATTGTCGTGTCCTTCGAAATCACGGAGAGCTGGAAGGGGGGGGAGAGAACGCATTACCATGGAGCTATGGGATATTTATAACTTTGCTTCCACAGTTTACTGGAATCACAATTATTTTATATTTTAATAAAACACCTTTTTCTGAGAATTTCACTAAACTTCAGCTCCAAGAAAGAGCCTCCACATCAACCAGGCAGGTTTTAAAGCCTTTAAATTCTTTTTAAAACTTCAAGAGTGAATATTCCTTTGGTAATTTACATGGCAGAATCTGCGTCGCTAATTGTATCCAATTGCAGTAGAGACCTCTCTGTAAGTAAGAGCCGCTTGAGGAAGAGCACACAGTATGCTGAAGTGGAAAGGGGACAGCAGACGGAGAGGTGGAGTAACACGGAAACCCTGTGAATTACCTTGATTGGAGGACTCCAGATTGGTCAGAATTTCAATCAGGTAGTTCAGAGGCAGAAAGTCTACACTGGAGGATGACTTGTTGATCGTAGAATTCCACGGCTAAAAGGAAAACCACTTCTGGTATTAATCGATTCTTCCAAGGAAGCTCAAATTTAAATAAAATGTTAAGAACTAGAATTTCTGTCTGTCCATATGGATAAACAGGCCAGCAGGATCCCGAGAGCCTTTCCTGGCCGTGCGCTTGCGCAGACTCACCTTTTTCTGATAGTTGGGAAGCAGCCGCGACACGTGGTTCCGGGAGATGATGTTGGCGCTCACAGGGTGATCCCAGAACCGGTAGATCTTCTGCCCAATGAGCTACGTGTGATTGAAAAATCCATAGAGCAGACTGTGTCTCCTAGTGCACTAGCTGCCCCCCAGAAGTGTTCTTCCACAACAGCTCATTAGTTTTCTAAAAGACACTTGATGTTTAATGATCCTGGGAGGCCAGCCTCCTCTGAGGGATGCTTCTGAAATTTGAATAAATGTTCCCTCAAGATGGAAGAACTACTCCACCTTCAAAAAAGCAGGTTATACACTGATGCCACCAGCTTCTTCTTCTGAAAAGGAGTGTAGTGCTACTCTTCAAAACAGGAGATGGACATACCAGTGTGAAGTGATATTCTGACAGGAAAGTATAGATTCAAGGCTGGCTTAATCAACTTCTCTGCCATTGTCTTGCCTTTAAAAATGTTAATTCCCTAAGTGTGGAAGGGGGAGATCACATCTGGAGACCAAACTGCATGTTCAGCGACTTCCCCAGAGAGAAAGAGCCGTAGAAAATTGGCTTAGTTCTCGATGCTCGCCTGTGCTCCCGTCAGCCTGTGAGGGAGGGACTGCTACAAAACAAGACTACTAGGTCCAGGAGGGCCACAGAAGTCCCTTTGGGGGAGGACAGTGACAGAGGTACAGGCTGTAAGGTCCTTAAACAGTGGACATGGCTGCCTGGGCAGTGAGTATGACCTTGCTGTGAACCTCGGAGTGCTGATGACCCTGAGAAGTAATGTCCCCCCAAAAAAAGAGGAGGCTGAGCCTTTGTGACTAACATCCTCACATTTTTCATTCTCCTTCTAATGGGGGGGGGTGTTCATGCTGGCGGAAACACAGGAGGAGGAAGTGGAGTTCCAGAGCCTTCTGACCTCACCTCTATTGCAATTTTTTATCAGTTTGAATCCAATTGCACACATTTCCCTTCTCCCTCCTCCTCAAACGCAGAAGTAATTATCAGCGCAGTTTCCTACAAAGGGAACAAAGCTAAATGTTCTCCGCGGGTGGGCGGTGCCTCATGCCAGTGAGGCGGAAAGTGGACGGGGTGGGGACGGATGGGATTCTTGGAAATGGCTGGAAAGTGAACCAATTCATCAAATTTCAGCTGAAAGCAAGCAAATGCTCCTCTCACAACAAAGAATTGAAAGAGCATCCTGCCAAGGCTTAGGGGAAAGTAAAGTTGAGGATTACCGGAGGAAGCCGTACGATGATGCTGAATTTTAGTTTTTCGTTTTTCTCTGTGTTGTCCAGATCTACAAGAAAGTTAGGGATTGAGGGGGAAAAAGAAAGAGAAAAGAAAAAAGATACTGAAGTCCAGCATATATCTAAAAGTGTACCTTGATTTAGTACAATTGTCCTATGTATTTTATAGCTTTTGGGCTTTTAGTCTGGCTATTAATCTGAATTTATAACAATTAACTTGATAAGGCTTTATTTTAAAAATTTATATGTATATAAATAAATATTTTAAATAAATGAATCTAATGCTAGGCAAAAGTAATTTTAAAGAGGGTGGAAGGGAATGAGGAAAAAGAATTTAGATGGGTTATGTACATGTTCAGCTCTCCACAGTGAATATGATTATTATAAACTTGCAAACATACACTAATAAAAATTTAAAATTATTTCTTAAATAAAGAAAGTTAGGGATTGGCAAACAAAACAAACACCCCCTTTAACACCTAGCAAGCTTTTCATACATAAGTGTTTGATTTTTGGTAATGCATTTTTCCAACCTTACAACCTCAGGCTAATCTAAAAACACTTCAAAACATTGTAGTTGGTGATTGAACAAGAAAGGACTTTTCTCTAACAAGCTGCCGTCACAAAGTGGTTTTATTGACTAACGTAAAGCAGTAGCTGCTTTGGGAAATACCGAATGCTTCAGCCTCTACTACCAAATGCCATCAGGGCATGCGCCACAAGGGGACGCCTGAGTGGCAGCACGCCAGGCCTCGTGGAAAGGGCCTATTTGCGTGAGTGTCGCATCTGTCACTGGCTTTTCTGGCATTTCAAGTTTGACTCCGAGATGATGGAGGGCTTAAGGTGAAAATAAGCCAGTCTGATACTCTGAGAAACAAGCCTGCGCCATCCCTTTGCTCACAAGCGGTCACATACAGACAAGGAATCCGGCAGCTATGTGGATCGAGATGCCCCCTGCCTGGACACCGGAAGGGCTGAGGCCCTCTGCACTGGCCTGCAGCGAAGTTCTGGGAATGCTGCGTCACTTCCGAGGCCCAGTGCCCAGCGGAAGCGAGGGGGTCCACACTCATACGTGAAGAGTGGCAGGTTCTCTGCGGGGCATTAAGCCCCATGTGGGACCCTTCTGAGGGTAGTCAGGCCTGTGTGACTACACCGGTCTCACCCGCAGGAAGCTAGCCTTGTTGCTGCCCAGCGGGAAAACACAGAGCCTCTTACCTTTGAGGAGCCTTTCAACCACCGTTCCAGTGAGAAGCAGTATGCCGTTATCGATATAATTCAGCAGGCTGTGCAGAGGGAGGCAGTGGACGCCAAGGGTGGTGTGCAGGGTGTGGAAGCCTAGGGTAAGTGACAAGAGGATGACAAGGTCAGCCAGCATCACCTGCAGCAGCCCAGAGAGAGACCTGGATGGCGTTAATAGGCACCACGCTCGCTGCCGGGTGCCTGGAATCAAAGTCCTTAGGCACAAGTTCCAAGTTTCTCTGTATGATCACAAGCTCCGTGCTGGTGCTGGTCCAGTTCCCAGTAAGTCCTTATTTCCTTGTCCTTGGGTCTCTTCCCAGGCAAAGCAAAGGCAGGCCTGCTCTGTGACAAGTTTTATAATCTAATACATCTGTAATTCTACAGCAAGATAGTGAAAGAGACCAGTTTGTTGAAAAAATAAAAGGAGGCATCAGAAAGTAAGAGTTTATATGCCTCATCTCTGGTCACCCCCCAGACGAGGCATTCTGCAGTCTACTTGGACCAAATTATAGAAACAGAATGGTGAATATGACAGCCAGGTATGATGGCACACACCTGTAACCCTAGAACTGTGGGTGGCTGAGGCAGGAGGATTGCAAATTCAAGCCCAGCATAGTCTATTAAGCCAGATTTTGTCTCAAAACATAAAAAAGGGGCTGAGGACGTAGCTCAGTGTGAAGGCCCTGGGTTCAATGTACACGAAGTGGCCAGCTAGCAAATCTATAGGAACTTGGTAGAACTGTTCTCTGTGGCAAAAGCCACCCAAATACACACAAGCCCAGAGCTCCCAGAACACTTGCAGTAACAGGGATGGACACAGGACACATGAAGAGGACAGCAGGCCAGAGAGAATCGGAAAAGATGTCTTGAAAATGACAGCACTGGAGGGGAAGTGGAAGAGCAGATGCAGCTCCCATGGGTGGAAACAAGGGAGAATGCAGCCGAGACGTCTCCTGAGCAGAGCAGAGCGGAGCCTTTCTGAAAAGGATACGATCAGAAATTTACAAAATCAATGCACATTCAAAAAATGTTCCCCGGTACCAGTGTCGGTGACAGAGGCTAAATGCTGAACGATAGCAAGGAGTTTATTTAGGACACTTCTGGGCGGCACTCAAAGCATCTGAGCAGGATGGAAAGAGGGCTTGAGTTTCACCTTGGGAGCACTCGTGTGACAACAGGCAAAGACTGCACAGAGGCGATGGGAGGGATGGAGACCCACGGGGTCCAGGGTGCTGAGCTGTGGGGGACCAGAGCAGAGGCCTGGTGAGTGCACCCGGCACCTGACTGGATGTGGGATGGCAGGGCCCATGGGCCACTCTTGAGAACGCACGTGGCAATGTGCAGTGGCTGACGCTCAAGCCTCCTGGCATCTCCCTCAGAGCATATGAGTCACGAGCAGTGAGCCAGGCCTGAGCCCTGGTGACCCTGAGGGTCACATGAAGTGTGACACTGCCATAGCAGATGTTAACAGCCTGGTAACCAGATGAACATACTAGCATTTCCAAAGCCAGAACAGAAATTGGGACATTACTGGCTAAGCAACAACAGGACCTCTTTGAAATGGACTTGGAAATTCTTTCCTAAATTTAAAAAAAAGTTACAAAATTATTTCTGAAGCAAAGTTCAACTACATTGTTATTACTGATGTCCTGGATTCCTAATTCCTTCCCATCCCAGCATACATGGCCCGAAGGTTCCTAAAGGCCCTTGAGCCTCCACAGTCCCTAGGGCCCTGCCCCAAGTCAGTGGCCTCTGCCTGGCTTCCCTGTGTGTCAGCTCTCAGCGTGTGGGCAGCGGCTGTATGAAGCCTGAGCTCCGTCCAACTGTAACCCTCGTCCTCCAGGGTTGTCTAGGAGAAGAGGAAACACAGATGCTTCTCAACAGCAAATGTTCTTGTTCTAACCATTGCTTCCTATTTGTAACCCTCATTCCTTCTGGTTTGTACCAGTTCTGGCTGGCAGTTTCTGAAACTTGGAACTCAAAACACTTGCCATAGTCCAGTTGGCGTGGAGCGCAAGCATGCTTACAAACATATAAACATTGCATTTATCACACAATCACACACAGGCACACACATGATCCTATGTCATTTCACCCCCTGTTTCCATGTCATCTGAGTCATACAAACATTTAAGACAAGCGGGACTTCCTTACCTGAGCCATGGAAACACCTCCTAATAACTCAATCCCTATAGATAGCTTTCTGTTTTCCTCCTTATTCCTATGCAGGAATGTGAGTGTGCAGAAAGTAGGTTTTTACGATCTCCAGGCCTAGCAATGTCCCCCAGGAAGTCGGCTCATTTGTTTTCAAAAAGAGCTTGAACATCCATGGTGATCAAATCACAAATAACTGTCCATTCCCCTGCTGAGTCTTTGTGTTAAAGACAAGCAATTATGAACCTAAGCCAAAATTTAAAAATTTTTTATTTTATTTTACCAGTTCGTGTGTAGTACCTCATGTTCCCACTCCATGTGGGAAGTTAGGGGTGGACAGAACACATCCCAGTTCCTTTCTCTTCCCTGTCCCTCCCCCTCTCCCACCATCTCTTGCTCCCCTGCTCCTCTGAGGAAGATCTGTTACATTCCCATGGCCTACTCTTGGGAATGCACTTGGCGGCATGCAGGGGCTGAGAGCGAAGCCTCCTGGCATTATTCTCTGAGCATGAGTCATGAGCAGAGGGCCAGGTCTGAGCCCTGGCGACCCTGAGGCTTACAGGACCTGCCTTCTATACACATCCATTATTTCCCTCTTTATCTTTACTTTGGGTTTCTCTTGTAAGAGAAACCATGTGATATGCAAGCTTGTGTGTCTCATTTATCTCACATTATGGCCTCAAGGGGCCACCATCTTCCTCCAAAGGACTCCAAAGCATCCTCCTCTATGGCGGGGCAGTCTCCACTGGGGGTAAAGACCACATTTTCTTTGTCCATTCATCTGTCCATGGACACACAGGCTGCTTCCAGGATTACTGTGCTCCTATAAACATGGCTATGCATGTATCTCTGTAATACAATCCTTTAACTCTTTGGGGAGTTACCTAGCAGGGGAATAGCTGGGTCAAATGGAATTTCTGTATTTAGTCTTTTGAGGAATCCCCACATAGATTTCCATAGTGGTTGTACTAGTTTACACTCCTACCAACAGTGGAAAGGGGATCTTTTCTGCCCACAGCTTTGCCATCATGTGTTGTCATTTGATTTCTTGATGGTAGCCCTTCTTTCTTGGGTCAGCTGGAATCTCTGAGATGTCTCAGTTCACATTTCTCTGATGACTGGCAATGTGGAGCATTTCTTCATGTCTTGATTGGCAACTTGTACTTTTTCTGAGAAGTGTCTGTTTCACTTGCTTATGTTTTTGATTAGGCCTTTTATTTGGGAACCTAGTTTTGGTTTTGGAGGTTTCCTTAGTTCTTTTCATAGTCTAGATGTGAGTCTTCTGTCTTTGGAATCAATGGGAATAAAATCCTTCCCATTCTGTAGGTTGTCTTTCCATTGTGTTTGTTGATTCTCTTGCTGTACAAATGTTTGTTTGTTTGTTTGTTTCCATATTTTAGGAAAGAGTCTACAGGGTGTTCAAGGTCTCACTAGTAGGTTGGACTCATAGTGATTCTCCTGTTTACAGCCTCCCAAGTGCTGGGCTTACAGGTGCGTTCCACCACGCCCAGTTTCAGTCATCCTCTCACCGCACCCTGGGGGTAGAGCTGGCAGAGCAGGCCCAGGGATCGAGCCCTGAGCCCCTGAGCCTGTGCAAACATTTTTATTCTGCTATGTGTTGAGATCATTTAAAACTACTCATTCCCCCAAAGGGCAGGACATCTGGTTTCCAAGCTGCCATCTTGGGCCAGGAAGCTAGCTCAGTGGAATAAGTGTTTGCCTGGCAAACGCAATATCCTGAATTGGATCCCTAGTGCCACAGAAAAAAATAAAAAATAACAAAACAAAACAAAAAACCATGCAGCCGTCTTCACCCTGCTAGCCACCCAAGAGTCCATTTAAAATGAGGCTGAGGGGAAAGCGAGGCCTCTGCCCAGGCAGAGCGTGTCAGGGCCACCTGGGGTAGGCGAGGCCAGCATGAGGCTGGGCCAGAGCCCACAGTCTGCACAGGCAGAGCACTGGCTGCTGAGTTCTCTTCCACACACAGCAACAAGAGCAGGCATCGCCTGGGGGAGGAGGCAGCCACAGAGACAGGGAGGAGCCCAGGACGCACACCGCTGTTTTAATTTGTGTTCCTTAGCATGTTGAAGGCAATAATTGACAATAAAGAAGCAGTATCTATTTTATATTTTAGGTTTTAACTATGACAATATAATAGAGCTCCTGTATCTAAAATGTTGCCTTTTACTTATTGCAAGGCATCTTAGCGTGGTGTATGCATAAAACAAAGTCATTTAACATTTCTCACATTTTAAAGTTGATCTGTAAGCTTGACGCAGATTAAAAATCAGCTTGACACAACAGCAAGTTAGGCTTTCTTTCTGCATTCTTTATCAAATCGGACTAAGTTATGGTTCAGGGTGTCTTTGAACAATGATTCAAAACCACAAGACCATGAAGCAAGAACAATTTCATACACCTAGGGGCGAGACAGCCAAGACTCACCGGGAGGCAGAGGCAGGAACACACTTCTAGTAGCTTCCAGAATCCTCGTCATGATGTGAAAGACTGCAAACTCAGCAGCACTGCCACGCCCGTTGCTGGGGAAAATGACAGCAGGAGTCAGCCACTTGTCCCGAGCGGCGGCTCCGAGCTGCACCACACATGGGGGACCCACGCTCATCATGAAACGCTGGGCCCTGGGAAAGCCCCCTAACCACACCAGTGACCACCAGCCTAAGGCCCAGAACCCACAGTCAGCAGCCTCATAAGCTGGGAACTGTCCCAACGGACATTCTCCCACTGGGCATTCCTGAGCTATAGGGTCCCTATGTCCTTGTCACCCTGTGCCAAAGACAGAAGGTGCTGAGTGTGAGGCTAAGCCAGGCAGTGCTGCTGCTGCTGCTGCTGCTGCTACTACTGAGAATTGCTTTGAACTAGAAGAGTCCTAGATTGCTTTGCTAGAACAGTGTTGCTGGCCCTCGAACGCCCTAATAAAGCACAGTGAGAAATACTTGCGTACAGCTGGAGAGGCCAAGACTCAAGATTGTGTATCCTCCAACTGGTTTCCACTATGCAGCAAATGAGGTCCAGCTGGGGGAAAGACAGTCTGTTAACCGCCACCTAGACCTTCCCAGCCTGCGCTCACCCAAGGCACTGAGTCCAGAGAGGCGAGATGAAAAATGTGCCTGGAGTCTAACCGCGCACTCTGTGTGCCTGGCCTGCCTGCTGGCCCCACCTGCCCTCTGAGACCCTCGCCTGTGGGAGGTCGATGCCAGGCCTGCCAAGAGGGACAGACGGAGACCCAGTGTGCACGGAAACCTGTGGGCACATCCCCTGCCAGAGTGGTGTCACATCGGTGCTGTGGTTGTCAAGCTGTGCAACCCACCAAGTCACTGAGCCCCCACATCTCAGCGTCCTCAGAGGTGAAGTGGGGGAGGGGTCGTGACGAGGGCGCCTGTCAGAACAATGACGCACTGATTGGAACAAGACGGTCAGTATGGCATCACGGAGAGCAACCCGAGCTGGAAGCGCTCACTGCCTTAGAGCTTCATGCAGAACTCATTCTAGTTCTACACCGATCTCTCGGCAGCACGGAGTCTGCGCGGGGCTACAGGCTGTGAACTCGTGTGTGGCACCTACAGGCTAAGCATGAGGCAGAGCGGAAGGGGGGCCCCAAGAGCACAGGTGAGCACTAGCTTCAGTGAGGTGTCCCCTCGGGTTCAGGAGCAGCTTCCTTGGGCATATTTCAGAAGGGCTGCCTGGCCACCCTCTGGGACCAGCAGGTGCCACAGGAAAAGGGCAGGGGGATTCGGACTCCACTCGGGACCTCCGGGTTCTGGGTCTACACATGGACTGTTTCTGTACCTCCTAGCTGCAGGGGCCGTTAACTCAAATTGGTGCTGAAACATTTATGAAGCCGGGAGGCTGAGGCAGGAGGATCACATTGAAGCCCAGCCTGGCCAATTTAGTGACTTGGCAAGACCCTGTCTCAAACTTGTAAAATTTTTTTTAAAACATTGGGGATGTAGCTCAGTGTGGAAGCCTTGGGTTCCAACCTGACTACCACCAAAAATAAATAAATAAATAAAATAAAATAAATAACGAAACAAAAACTATAGAGAAGAATGATGCTTGTACGAAAATCCTTCCTCACACTTCAGAAGGTGAAATTTAAAATGAACAGAAAAGAAAGGTGTCAGGTCGGCGTGTCAAATGAGCCTGTAATGTGAAATGCGAGGGTGAGGAAACAAGCAAGTGTCAACATGGGGCAGATCAGAGCCCTTCCTGAGTGAGCCTCACTACCCTCCTGAGGAGGACAAGAACTATCAGGGGAGCATCAGCGTCCTGTTCGGAGGCATCAGCATAAAACAGCCAACCTCTCCTAACATAGCATGAAGTATGAAGCTCAAGGCTTTCGAAGGAAATCAACTACATCATCCCCAACCAAACACTAATGACCATAATAGAGACACAAAACTGTACACTTCAAAGATTAAATCAGAATCTATCTAGTAAACCTAATCTTCAAGGGCTCACTACAAAACTACAGGTTCACACACCAGTTCACTGGTGCATCTTGGTCTTAGCCAGACTTGGGGTTTACTGTATAAATGCTTTTCTTCAATTTGTCAAGCATATTATTTCTGGATTCTAAACAGGATCAGACCTCATCTCTATACGCTCTTAAAAGATGCAGGAGGGCCTTAAATCTCAGCACATCGTTTCTACTTCCATATGGACTGATGTGACGGGTTGGCATCGCATAGTTTCCACATGTGGCTACCAGGTGCCGAGCAGCTATCTCATCGCCAACGCCAGTGGGGTGGGGCTGACACAGCTGAGCTGGGATCCACCGTGGCGGGCTGTGGCAGCTGGTGAAGACCCGAAGTTCAAGCTCTCTCGTGTCTGCACAGACCTCCCTATATAGAAACCACTGCTTTCTCCTTATTAGGGAGCTAGAAGTTGCCAAGGTGGGATGTGGGACTTTGGCAACCAGCTTGCATTGGTTGTCTCTGCTTCCATGCGCATAACACAGAGGGCAGTAAGCTGCTTTCACAGCCAGGTTCTCTGTGTACTGTCATCTCCCTTTCCTCCATCTACTGCACCGAGCATACCGGTTTGAGGATGGTAGATCTCCAAAAACCTAATTTGAGAAACACACAAATGGTCTCACTGAACTACACACATTCTGAGAATTCCACATGGGGGCAGGAAACGATGGTGGGTGAGAAGAGAAAACAAAACCAACCAGTTTGGAGGTGTAGTCCACAACCATCTGCTCAATTTTCTTTTTCTCTACACCTTGCAGGTGTCTCAGGAGATGGTCTTTTAGCTCAGACACCATCTGAAACAGGATGTGCATTAGATAAGTCACAACCTACTCACACTCTCACCCGGCTTCAATTAGAGCCTTGTATTAATAATATTCCTTAGCAATGTGAAAAATGCCACATCTCAAGATCCCAGAGCCAAGATGCCAGCTCTCAGTACTTCTCTGGTGAAAGAAACAGGAGACACCAACATTTCCGACAGAGGAGCCACTAGGCTCTATCAAAATCCCAGGGAGGAGTCCAGAGCCCGATCCAGGTCCTGGCAGAACTCTGCAAAGAGGTCAGTGGGAGCCACCCATGTGGGAGTGAAGGGCCTCGGGATCTGCCAGAGGGCCGAGATCCAACCTGGAGCTCTACTCCGCCATGAAGAGACCTTCATTCCAGCACCTCCGAACACACTGCTGTCTGCACTAGCTCTCTCACCATCATCCGTGGACCTCCCCAACCAGTGGTCAGCACTCCTTGCCTCTATCATTTGCTTTTCTGTCCTTCCTCTTCCTGTCTTCTTCTTCCTCCTCCTCCTCCTCTTCCTCCTACTTTGCCTCCTCTTTCTCTTCCCCCCTTGTCTTCTCCCTTTGGGCCTAGATGCCCAGCTCATAATGAGACCCTCCTGGATAGAGAGATCTGGGCACCAACAAGCAGGCCAAGAGCCCTATAAGTGCCACCCCACCTGTGTCTTCTATTCCTGCCAGTACCCTGGGCTTTCAGGCCAGGACACACTGGCATCCTATTCCAGTTCAGTCTCCTATATGTGCTAGTGGGTTTGGCATCTTTATAAGTTCTTTTTTTCTGTTCAAGCAGTAGTGTACACTTTTTTGTGCCTTTCAACTTTTCTACAATAACCATAAGATGAAAATTCAAATGACTCATAATCCTACGATGAGCACAAAACTTTGAGGTTTTTTCCCCTTTTTTCTGCTCTGCACACACCCTTTAATGTTTTGTCATCTGCTTTTCTTCATGTAATAGTTGCCTTGGGTCATTAAATGCATAATTATTCCAGCTTTAATAACTGTTCAGCATTAATTTTATGAAAGCACTACAATTAAATTATTCCTTTTGTGTACATATAGATTTTTTTTTTTTTGCTGTTGTTAGAAATGCCACACAAATATATAGAAATAGTTTGCCATATCTCTAATTATTTTGTCAGACTAAGTTCTCAGAAATGAATTTGTTGAATTAGGGACCAGGGGTTTAGCTTAGTGGTACAGTGTCTGCCTGGCAAGCATGAGGTCCTGAGTTCAATTCCTAGTGTCCCCCCAAAACAAAGAAAGTGCCAGAATGTGTAGGCTGCATACATAAGGTATGCAAGGTCCTGGACTTACACCCATTTTCCAGTGCACATCATGGGGCTGGCTCTCTGGTTCCCTGAACCCTGAGCTTTTCTATGTGATTTTAAATCTTTGCCACCTTGAAAGCCAGAAATGCACTCGTGCCGTTCATGCTTTGATGATGGTTACGCTGAGGACGGTTCTGTTTTCTGTCACTCTGGACTGTCTGACCGCTCACACTTGACCATAGGTGACTCGGCACCTCGCGTTCCATTCCCCCCGCTGTCTTATCTTCTTACTGACTTACAAGCTTCATGGACCAAAGGCCAATCATTTGACACACTTAGCACAATTTTTTTTGCAAATTTATTTTTTGCCTTTTTCTAAGTTTTTATTCCATCACATTCTTTCCCATCTGCCTATATTCAATAATGCCTTGTAAAGGTCTTCTCTATCTCAGAGCTAGATTAGCTGTCCACTCGTTTTATTCATATTCCTTCACGCAGTTAACTTTTTTACTAACCTCCCTAAACTATCAGTCCTCCTGCTTCAGCCCTGAGTGGTGAAATAACAGGCCTGGCTTTAGCCTGAACTCCTTACTCTGTTATTTCTGATGGCTTGTTATATAAAGTGGGGATTTAAGATAGAAAGAATCTAAATATTCCTTTCCAAATAAGTAACCATTAATGAATTGATATATTAAAACTTCTTCCTTTCCACACCAATTTTTTAACATCGTGTTATTATATACTAAATGTTCAGTGTAAACTAGACTCTATTAACTGCTTATCTTCATCTATCTATTGTTTCTATATTTCATATAAGTGCATATTTAGATACCTGGCAATGCCAATTCCACATCTCTTAATTTGTCAAGTAAGTTAGTTATTTGTCAGAACAAGTTATTTCATCATCTCTTAGATTGTAATTTTATTAAACCTAGACACTAAGATTGTACTTCATTTGTTTTTCTGCCTATTCATAATAAAAAAATAACTTCCTTGTTATTATTTTCCATTTTCTCAGCTGGTCAGCTGCTGCTACACAAGACAGTCGCAACATCTTCCTTAGGTTTGGTTTCTTCCTGCCCTGGCCACTGCTTTCATAATAATGTAAACTGGTAGTGAAAATGACCTTCAGCATTCCATTAAAAGATGTTGGCTATTACTATGAGACTACTTGTCTACTACGTATATTTCAGGAGTGGAATTTGACTTTTGTCCTCATTCAATACCTAGAAAAATGACCTCTCCCTCTTCTTTCACCTTGAAATGCAAACTTTACTAATACATTTCCTGGGGAAGGTATTAACTTGACTGTGTTATGTTTTCAAGAGACCAAGAATATTTAATGAAGCTTGGGATATCTAGACCCAGGAGTCAGATCTGGCTTCTCTGGTTATGCACGTTCTTTAAGACGCCTGAGAAGCTTTCTGTCTTCTTTCAAAAGATACTCTATGTACCACAGGACAATCTGGTCCTTGAAAATTTGAAAGAATAAACTTGAAGGCTTCTTTAAAGATATTTGGCATTTATTGTGCTTTCAACTATTTCTTCTTGGATCAAGTTTTGTGATCTCTATTGGCCAAGAAAACTCCTTGTTTAACTAAAATTGTCAAGGTTATAAATTTGGATTTATACATATTTTCTCAAACAGTAATTTTAAGTTTGTTTAGCTCAAGTACAGATCAAGTCATTCTTAAGGCTGTGTGACTTTTAAATATTTTATTTGACTTTCAAGACGTCTCTGTAATTTTGTTTTCTTAAAGGCTTTAGATTTATTTACCAAGCCTGCTCTTCAGGTAATTTACCTTGATTTCTGTTTCTTCAGTCCCCCTAGCATTTGGATTTCCTTCCCAAAGAATATTTTGGTGGCGTTTGAGCTGCAGTGCAAGTGTCACAAAAAGGATTCTCTCTCTTTCTGAAAAAACACTTTCAATGTCATGCATTCCTTGTCATGATGTGTAATTATATACTTAATGGTGTGACTAATACATTTCCTCCATTAACTACATATTCTAAGAGGGCAACATCGTATATCATTGCTGACTGCTGACGCATAGTCTACAGTGCAGGCAACAACTGTTTGTTCAAAGAATCGAGAGGGAGATTCAATCAGAAGAAGTGTAACCTGGGCCTCCCCCGCCCCACCGAAGGGCGCTGACCCTTACCAGCCCAGTCAGCAGCCTCTGGGGGGCGTCTTCCTCCTGCAGGAGGGGACTCAACCTGGGCTCTGAAATCAAACAAATGGTTGTCAAGCAGGACAGTTTCCAGAGTGCAGACTAAAGCAAGAGGCTTCTCTTCTCTTAAGTCACTGAGGAAATGGAGCACTTTCCATGATGTGGTGAAAAATCTCAATGGCTTAGCATGACCCACTCCTACAAGTCCAGAGTAGGTGACCCAGACAGAGCTGTCACATAGGAAGGAAAAGACCAGGAAAGGAAACAACGAGGAACCCACTCCCGGGCACCTGGACGTTCTGGCCTTGATGTCTCCTCACCTCAGAAACTCGCCACTAAGAACCTCTGCTTCCCAGGACAGCACGGGCCTTCCGTGGCTCCCACCTGCTTCCTGAGCCCGTGGTTCATCAACTTTGGGAGTCCCTGAGCTGAAGGCGCAGTCAGTTCCTGGAGCTAATAATACTAACTGGCTATGTCACCAGACTGAAGTGGCAGCGAGGTCGGGGTGGAAACTGGAAGGTTAAAACAAAGGGCACTTTCTGGAGTGAGAAAAGGGGGCACAAAATCTGGAGAACCTGCCTGCCTGGCACCCCCTGCTTGGCTCTTCCTCTCCTAGAGGCAGGAGACGTTTCTAGGGCACCAAGACCAGATAGTGACGGATAGAAAGCAGGAGGCGCATCCTGAGCAGGGGACAAGAGGTGGACACAGCTGACACCTGCCCGGCCAGGCCACCAATCCCCCACAGACAGGGAGAAGCACTGGGGCCACCCAGGGCAGGCAGAACCGGGACTCAGACATGGATTGCTGCTAACCCAGGCAGGGCCAGGTCGCCAGGGGCAAGGTCACCGTCACGGGCCGGAGGGCTGCGCACAGGCTAGCGAAACAGGTTTCCCTTACCGCCCCACATACGCTTCAGACAGCCACACCCATCAAATATGTACAGAAATAAAAAAGAATGTGCACAGAAACTGCACAAAGGCTGCACCTCACGGGGCGTAAAGCTCTTCATCAGTTCTGCAGGCTATTATAGCTGGGCATCTGAACAACTGCTTTGGAGATAACCATCTGCATTGTAACAACCATTGCTAATTTCCTATCATCTATTTTTGAAATTCTGTATTATTTTTATTGGGGTGTTTCCTTATTTTTTATTTTCTTTAAAATTAAAAATATATTCCTTTGCGACCCTCAGGACAGGCTGTGCCTGAACAGACTCACTCCACCAACACCACCCCAGCCCCTGGCTAGGTCCCCTCATTTGTAAGGGCTTTATTGACTCATCAAGGGCCACCCCCAGAACCCTCTTCCACCTCAGCCCACCACCCCTATTGTGCTGCACCCCTGGGGCCCAGCTCCCAGAGGTGACATGCCGCCTGCTGCTTGGTTTAGAACTAATGTGCTAGCACTTCTCCTCTCAGGCTGAGCATGCAGCCCCTTCTGGGCCACACTCCCTGTAGCCTCTGCGAGCTGTTCCTGCATGCTCCCATTCACCCTCTTTTGCCCCCTCTACCCCTGGTACAGACAGGGCACCGAGGAATGGCTGGCTGGCCCAGGAGTACACTGTCAGCGTGGACAGCTCTGGACTGGAGTCCACTTCTCCTGGGCTCGTGCTTTCTACACCCCGAGGACCCAACTCAGTGCAAGCCAAGCGTTAACCAAACTGAAAGGCACAGGTCAAAGAGCCTGTGTGACAAGAGAGCTTGCCAAGGGAATTGCTGGAGGGCAGCCTGTGGGCACAGCCAGAGGGCATGAGCTCTCAGCAGCCCCAGAGGACAGCGCATGGACGCCAGAGGCCAACTCCCAGGGACTGAGCTCATTTAGCAGCTGTCACTGAAGGCGCTGGTGCCAAGACAGATGTGGATATGGCTCTATGGTCACCAGAACACAGCAATATTAAAGGGCGCTGCCTTCATTCCTCCACCGGAAGTGATTTCCTCGCAACCCCCAGCGCAGGGAGCACAGTGGTGCAAACAACACACTGGAACCCAGGAGGCTTTAGCAGGCCTTCTCTTACCCGGATGCCTGGCTTCCATGTTAGAAATCACCCTAGAAGAGATCAGAGGTGTTAATCATACAGGCGGCAGGGGGTGTGAAGCCACAACACTATGCAAAGAGCCTCTTAAAAAAAAAAAAACTCACTGTAGAAACTGTTCTCAGGCTACTGGAAACTTCAAACATTTTAATTAATGTAGCAAAAGCCACATTAGGAAATCAAAATATCTCAAAGCCCATCAGTGCCAACAATGGCAATAATTTAGCACAAGTGCATCCTCAGTTATTGAAAATAACAAGGGCAGGAAACAGAAGAGAGGTTGGAGTGGGGCTGACGCCATTAGCACCTAGGGTGACACATCTGCCCCGAAATCAGCTTTCAACGTAAGAGCAGGCTCGCCACCTGCTAATAGTTTCCTTCTAAGCAACCTACTTTCTGTCCTTGTTCTCACAAGGGCTCATTTATCCACTACACATCTTCCAACCCAAGGCCCAAGTCTCTAGGGTTTAGCCCAGGAGATTTTTCCCATTAGAATTCCAAGCACCGAATAGGGCCTAAAAAAGCAAGTGATGTGTACACACACACACACACACACACACACACACACACACACACAGAGCCAACAGGGTCAAGGAAAATCATCTGCCAGATACCAAAACCTTCACTTAACTTACTTGATTGCGCTATTGAGAATGTTCCTCACATACGCCGTGGACCTTCTTTTTCCTGTTTCCTACAAGTGAGAACACGTCAGTCGGGGTTAGAACAGTGAGTTGTTTTCGTGGGTGGCCTCTTTATCTCAAGACACAATGCAATAGAGCTAAGAGCTTCGGAAAGATGAAACACCCTTTCCAGGTCCTCAGAACATCCAAATGCTTTGACAAAAAAAGTCTATGTTTTCTGCTAAACCAAGAATAGACTCACAGAAGTTTCATGTTGATTACATACAAGATCACGTTATCTACAATAATCTACAGAGAG